GGTCCCTTCCAACCCTAGAAACTATGAAACTATGAAATAGTTTCCAGTATAAGTGGCAACTGATATGTTGTATTTATGCGCAGCCACGTTGGGTTGTTCATTATTATTCATCATTTGTGAAATACTGCAACTTTAAGCACAGCCCTTGTTATACCAAACTAGAACAAAGAAACTGCCTTCCCAATAGTCTGCCTAATTCAGTACCCTGTCTCAAACAATACTGGGTTCTAGGTGTTTTAGAATAGTTTCCAAATGAGGTGCTATTTGAAGCTATTTGCACAGTCAGCTTCAAAATGAGGAGTTAAGCAAAAGAAGAAAAATCCATAAATTTAATTCTAATTTGGCCCTCACAATGTAACAGTCATTTTTTTTTAAATCTTGTTCCTTGATTGAGAGTTATCACAAGCAAGTTTAGATTGGAATGATAGTTTTTCTAGGCATAAAAAGCCTTGCAAAATAGTTTTACAATGAAATCATTGCCAAACTTTGTCCTTATTTGTTGTTTTCATAAAAACTAATCGTATTCTTATCTTTCTTTTCATAAAAACAGATAAAGGCTATAGGCCTGCTTTTTTAGGCATACAAAAATGTTTTATAAATAGTCCTGAAAAGCTTTTAAAATATTATTCAGGGAAAAAAGCTGTTTGCATGGCTTTGTTTTAATCATATTCTTTCTCTTTTCCTGACAGTGCTCTCTAAGATGAGAGAGATTTATAATTGTACTAAGGGAAGAAATGATAGTGTTGCAATTTGATTTTCAAGGCAGCTAGCTGAACGCTAGCTAAATATTCTTTACATTTCCCAAAGGTGTATAAGCCACAACTGCAGGAAAGGGAGACTTCCCCATCATTTGATTTCCAACCTATAATGGTGCTGGAAATATTGAGCCAGTGGAGCATTCATATCATAAAGTCTGTTAGACTGACCCACACAATTTGATTCATCTGCAACAAGTGCCAGTGTAATGAGCTCATGAAGCAGTTTTATTTACTGTCTTGTAAATAACAACCCTGGATTTACTGTAGGAAACAGGGCCATTTATGGTACCTTGAATTAACAAGCAACAGCATACAAAAGAAGATCAGGATTTTTTCTTTTAATCTGACAGATGTACAAAAGGTGGCCTGATTATTATAATCTTATGGGCCAAATTTTTGAAAGCCCAATCCAACAACGTTCAGGAAATGAATGCACATCCACTGCCTGAAAAACCTTGCATAAACAAGATTTGATGTGGGCAAAGACACAATTACCATAGGAATGGTAAGTATGGGAAAATGATGCATCATTTGTGTTAGGGCCAGATTCTAGTCTTCAGTGAGCAGGGAACATTCATCTTTGGCATAAGATTAAGAGACTGGGCCTTATCCATAGTGCAAAGCTCACATAGTGCCAGGTACACATCAGTACCATTTGATTTAGGATTTAGTAGCACTCAAAGGCACAAGTAGGACTCAAAGGCATAACAGAGTAGCTCTATGCTCTAGGCAGTGTCAGGACACAGGGCATTGGCAGCAGCTGTGCTGGCAGCAGCAGTGGCACAGCCAGCAGTAGCTCTCCCTTATCCCCCAGAGGTGATGATCAAGGCTACTGCCCTGGTCACCTCTTCACCACCCCCAATTATGCTACTGCCAAATGCTGCTTAGGCCTTGCATTGGCCTTCTTCAGAGATGTGAACTGCACTTTTGTGAAACAATTATAAGTTTTCCCATCCCAAAGGGTAGCTGTGGTTTGCCAGCTTAATTGATTACATTAATGGAAGCACACAAGAGATTTCAGGTGTCCTGGGCAGAATACTTGAAGAGCCCAGAAATCAGTAAGAATGAACTAGTGACAGGTCCTACTAACTCATATTGCAGTGTTGGGACAGGACTGCAGTTTTGTTAGATTTAAAAGGGTTCAGAGTATAAGCATGGGCATGTCCACACATGTATTAATGTGCTTTAGTTAACTCACATTAAATCTAGTACTTCTGTTGTGAGGACACTTTTACACATGCTTGGGGGAGGGGAGGCAATGCTTTAATTAAAGCCGTTCCAAAAGCCACTGTAATTAAAGCACCTCAGCGTCTTGTTTATCAGCATCCCTGTGCTCAAAATGGAGGTGGGAGTGCTTTAATTAAAGCTCATTGAATGACCTTTAGTTTAAGAACCCCCACTGCCATTTTGAAGCACAGAGATGCTGATACAGGACACATGGAAGACTTCTGGAGCGCAGTAATTACTATGCTTCAGCAGTCTCATTTGAGCCTGCTCTGATGTGCTCTAATTACAGTTCACTGGAGCAGCCTCCGTGCTCATGTACAGGCACCCTGAGGTACTAGGAAAATGCACATGAGCCTGTCTTAATGCTCATTAACTAAAGAGCATGTTTTTGTAGTGATGCTTAATGTGCATTAGACTATTTTAATATGCTGTCACAGGGCACTAATGTGTGCCTGCTCCTTTACAAGCAGAGGCAGCTTAGCTAGAGAGCCCTGAGAGTAGGCAGTGCTCCACAGCTGCAGGTTGCCTTGGCAGCAGGCTAATGAGGGAATTAGCTAGCACCTGCACCCGGTTAGCTGACCAGAAGGAGTCAGGGCCCTGGGCACACATAAGCCCCTGAGTTGGGGCTGGCAGGAATTAGTTCTCTGGCTGTAGCCAGGGGGAAGAAGCTCTTACAGACAAGCTGCTTGGAGATGCTTGTTTTACTGCTGGTAAGGTTGGGCTCTAGGAGCTCCTACAGTACCTGGGGCTAGGAGGCACACATTGCTCAGGGAGAAGCTTGCCTTCTTAAAGGGGAAGAGTGCGGCCTCCAGTGTTATTATTATTGTTATGGTTATACTGTAGCCCAGGGGCTCATATTTACTTTAGTATTTGGACTAGCGGACCAGGATGAGGCTAATTAGAGAGGAGGGGAGGCCTCATTGGGGCGCACTAACATGTAGAGCCCCAGCACTGGGGAGGGCACAGAAGCGGTGCTGCAGAGAGCCCAGCACCAGAGGATGCCACTACAGGGGGTGTAGGGATCCCAGCTCCAGAAGGCACAACTACAAGGACCCAGGGCCTGATGATGACAGGAGGTTGAACTAGACTGAGGCTCCATAGCAAGGGACAATGTTTAAATACCATCTGCGAGGCATGGGGTGCAGTGAAGGGGGGATTTTGGAGCCACACATCTAGTTCATAAGGCTTAGGGTGTCTTGAGAGGCATTAATTTTGTGTGAGACCCAGCAAGGGATCCAAGATCAGCAGGGTCTAGTAGGGTTCAGGAGGACTGTGGCCATGAACTTGTAGGCAGCTTCCCAACTTATTATTTAGACCAACAAGATGTGGCAGGTGAGACTAGAAGGTGCCCGCAGGGCAAAACAGTCACAGAACCCTAGGTTCATCATGGCCATCCCTGGGGACCCCATGCCATGACATATGCATTAACTAAATATAATTTTTTTTTAGTGACACTTTAATGGGCATTAAAATAGGCTAATGTGCATTAAAGTGCATGTGTAGATGCACCCAGTAACTACCGCAACTACAGACAAATTGTACTGGGTCAATATTTTGTGGCCTGTGGCAAAAGTTTCAGATCACTCTAAATCTAGACTTCAAAGTGCCTAAATCACCCTACATAGTGGGCTTAGGTCATTAGACACTTGTGTGCTTTTGAATATTTTACTTCAGGTTTAAATTTGACCCAAATTATTTATGCCTTCATTTGCCAGCTTTTTTTCCAGTATGCCAATAGAATTGATATGCTGGTACTAGAGTATAGGGCATATACAGCAGGACAGAATGGTTGTAGTTTAAAGTGAGAGGGGATTTATAGATCTTCATCAGTACCATAGCATAAGTGTGGCCTCTAACAGCATGTTAGTATGAAGGGGCAGCAGTGAGCATTGGCATTCTCAGAATTTCCACTCTAATCTTTGCATGTAGAAATGTAGCTATTGCAGTCACCATGGTTACTTATTCTCCAAGCCAAAAATAGGGAATGCAGTGTATATGCAGAATATAATTGGCCAGTCCCAGTGCTATATATTAAACTTGTGCTCCACAATATTTTGGATCAGATTCCTCTATTACATGGATCTGCTATTCAATGTGAAAGAACAGAAACAGTTCAAATAATTCCTTACCTTCAAACATAAGTTATTAGAGAAAAGAATCCAGTTATATTTACAGAGATAACAGGCCAATTCTTCCTTTTCAGTCGGGTGGTGGAAAAACACAACCTAGTGTTCTCTAAGCGTGAGTTTCACACGAAGGCAGAAAATCTATTCAAAGTACTAGTCTGGATTTTGCTATATACTCTGAGTAATACAAAAGCAGTCTTAGGAAGAAGGATGGGGAAATAGCGAGAGAGGAACCATTGCATGAGAAACAGTGATGCTCTTTTCTTTTTTTTCTTTTTTTGTGTTGCTCATTTATATTCACCAAGCAAAGAAACTTTTTTTTTCTTTTTGTTTCTGTTCCTCCATACCCTATAATTCTATTTTGCTTTTTTTTCTTTTGAAAAGCAAACTGTGACTAAGGAGGAGTCATAGAGGATAACTCAGAGCAATTTCCTTTAGGCCTCATTTAGTTTAAACTCTGAAAATTCATGGAATTCCATATAGTAGCTAATTTGAGGAAAATATATATTTTAATTGATATATTAGTGTTACAAGGGTGCAGCTAGCCTGCATAAGTAACAATTTTTCCACAATCCAACATTGCTATTTTGCCTACCTACTATTTTGGCAAATGCTAATACAAATGTCTGACATTTGATATACTTGATATTGTCCAGCCTCAAAGGCCTTCCATCATCTCTTTTTCTCACCTAAATAAAGAGGAATTTAGAATAAGAACGAATTTTTTCCTCTGCAGTTCTGTTTGTTGGGGAAACCCTTTGGAGCGTGGCCTTTACACAGTAGGCAGATAAAACCCTGGGGTTACACTGGTATTTTCCTTATCAGTTTCACCCTTCCATCTCTACTCTTCCATCAAAAAAGAGAAAAGGTCTAGAAAACATAACTCCCAAGGAAAGATGGGAAGTACAAGGACTGTTTAGTGTGGACAATAAAAGACTGGAGTGTTTTTGTTTTGTTTTTTTTGTTTTTATAATAATCTTCAAATAAAAAAATAAAGTTTAAGGAAGGTTGTGATCTGTGTCCACAGGAAAAGACTTAACAGTCTTAAACTGCAACAAGGGAAATGTGGGTTTGATATTACAAAGAACTTTCTAATTCTGAGTCTGGATCAGCAGAGGAGCAGATTACCTAGAGAGGTGGTGGGCTATCCATCACTGGAAGTTTTTTATTGCAGGTCAGACAATGGTTGGGGTGGCTTAGATTAGGATGGTCTTACTTTGCACAGGACTTTGACTAGATTACACCCTAGGGTACTCAAAGAGCTGGCAGATGTCATAGACAGAACATTGGCCAAAATCTTCAAAAACTCATGGCACTCAGGTGGAGTACCTGAAGACTGGAAGAGGGCCAATGTGGTACCCATCTTCAAGAAAGGGCGGAAAGTAGATCCCAAGAATTGCAGGCCAGTCAGCTTGACCGCAATCCCTGGTAAGATTCTTGAGGAAAATTATCAAGGAGACCCTTCTGGATAAGTTAAATAAGGGCAACATCCTGAGGGATAGCCAGCATGGGTTTGTTGTGGGTAGGTCTTGACTGACCAATCTCAGATCCTTCTATGCCCAGGTGCTGTATCACCTGGACAAGGGAGAAGAGATTGTCCTATAGCTGGATTTCAAAAAAATCCTTTGATCTGGTGTCCCATGATCTCCTCATGGAAAAATTGGCCAACTGTGGCCTCAGCTACACCGCAGTCTGATAGCTGGGAAATTCTCTCTGAGGTTGGACCCAGAGAGTAGTGGTCAATGGTAGTGAATCATTATAGCACTCCATGACCAGTGGCGTCCCCCAAGGCTCTGTCTTTGGACTGGTTCTCTTTAACATCTTTATCAATGATGTGGACATTGGTGTCAAGTGCACTGG